GATACTGATTTTGGTGTGTTTTAACAATTGAATTGTGTATTTTTATCGGTTTAATATTAATTTGAGAAACATTTGCGCAATTATCGCAGGGCCTACAAATTTAGTATCACCATCTTTTTATTCTACCGAGCCTGCGCTTTCAGAAAATATATGGTTTGGGGGGTCTTTTACAAACGCTAGCAACGCAGCAGTTGAAAATCAAATCAATAGGAAAAAATTGCAGAAAATTCAAAAATGGCTTGGCCAGCTGATTTGAAAAATGTTCCGGAGGGCATGGCAGCGAAAGAGTTAAATGATGTAAGTAAGCAGAGCTTCACCACATTCACCAACATAAAATTACATGAAAGTAAACAGCCTATTTTATTTGCCTTTAGTAAATTAATCCCAATGAGTTTAGATCCCAAAAGCACCCAAATATGTTCTGAATCCATGGCACAGAAAATATCCTGCATGCTTAAATATTTCTGAAACAAATGCAAGTATTTTGTTTTACTGTATATAGAAACATACTTTGATTGGCTCCCAAACTATGCTGGAAGTCTGTTCCAATCGGAAAATAATAATTTTTAACATTACTCTTGAACTTTCCTCCTGCTAGTCTGAGTTTTTTCCTTCAAGGCCATTTGGCCTCATCATGCCTTTGTGCATGGATGGATGAAGGATTCAATACTGCTTGATTGCTAACTAATGCCCTATCTGATTACATATTAACTTGTTCTCAACCTGTTTGCGCTGCCTGCAAAGTCTGTGAGACTTGTACAATGAATTCATCCCATTAGCATAAGTAAGCAGCAATACAGAAGTAATTAACACTTTAAGAAACAACTAAAATTATCTGAAAATTAAAAGTGATTTCCATTCGTATTCTACTGTATGTACTTTCAAATAATATGAAAATGCCAAAAGCCAATCTTTAAAACAGCATATATCACAAATTAAGCTGTAGAGATATAAACTTAATTAAGACTATTGACCTACTAGTTATTGTTTCAACAGCCTTACGGCCCATTTATCCAACACAGGAATTTCTAATGCTATAAAAGATACTCATGACCAGGAACACTGATTTAGCACGGATGACCGAAAAAACATAAGGGGTTATTCACAAAAGGGTGAAGGGTTTGGGGAAGGCAGGAGAAATGAACAATCTAGGCCAACGTAGCTGATTTGGAAACATTCTCCAATTCAGCTCACCTTCTAGTTCAGCTATGTTGTCCTAGATTGTTCACGTCTCCTGCCTTCTCCAAACTCTTCACCCTTTTGTGAACAGCCCTGACAGTAGTCGATAGGGTAGTTTGAGGTACTAGGAAATGAACAGAGGAGCAAACAACAAACCTTTTTTCAATAACGAATCCAGATCAAACAAATATACAGTATATTGTCCAGCAAAGTATTTGTTTTTTTATTTTGCCCTTGCAGGTACAGTCATCATGTTTCCAAACAGCTGGTTCCAACACTCTCGGCTAGGCTTCCCTGAACTTCCTGCCTAGTGCAAAATCTCAAGGGGAGAGCAATCTCCAGCAACTACCCATCTACTAGCTTGGAGAAGGGAGGAAAGAGGACTGTAGAGCAGGAAAGGGACTTGTCCTGCTGTGCCTGTGTTTGTGCAGACACACACAGCTTACCAGCACACAGACTGGTGGCTCTATAGGACCCTGCAAGAGAAAGGCCTGTTGGCACCAACTGGCTTGATAAACTTCGATCTGAAAATTTAGGGAGCTGGTCAGAAAATTGCAGACCAAACTGTGATTGCAGTCAATCAGATTGGAAGAGAAAAGGTTTAATTCTAAATTGTGATGGGGATTCTTTACTGTGAAAGCTGTAAAATTGTGGAAATCTCTTTCACAATCTCTTTCACAGGCAGTATTTTCAGCTGAGAGTATTGACTCATTATAGAAACTTTTAGATGCTTTTCTCAGAGATTAAAATATACAGGGGTACAGGTACTCTTAGCAACTCATACACACGCACACACACACACACACACACACACACACACACACACACACACACACATTGAACTCAATAGATCTGTGACTTTATTAAACCTCAACAACTATATAACTATGTATTCTGAGCGGTTGTCTATACTGGGTAGTAGCTTAGAAATCTGGATTCTGATTGAAGTGGCAGTTTTTTTTTTTTATCAAGAGGGGGATGGATAAACATATAGCTAAAAAATGACCACTTAAAAAAAACCTTTAAAGCAAACAGACATATCAATCCCCCAAAACTGGCTATGGAATAACAAAAATACAAATTCATATGGTATATGTCAGCCATCCTGTTTTAGACTTTAGGAAGTGAGGAGGTGAACATTGCAGATCATACGCATACCATTAATCTACAAAAAAGAAATTTGACTTCAGTGGCCTTGAAAGATTCCCTAAAGGAATCCTAAAGGGCCTTCATTTGCAGATTTCAATTAGCCTTTATTTCTATGCAATTATACATTAAACTGGTGCATTGTGTCGGCTATCCTGATATCCTGTAATATGCATGAATATCAAACAAAGCAAAAAAACAATAGTCTTCAATACATTTCCTAATGCTTCAGAAAGTGAAATAAAAGACAGTTCAAAACGGTTACCAGGAACACAGGAGTTACATAAGATATGTGAAAAGGAAGTTTAAGGTTATGTCAGCTCCCAGTGGGAGTAAATCCAATCATGAAGGCTCGAGGATTATGCCCAAACCGCTGGCTTGTTAATATTAGCAGCATTTTCAATTCAGACACTTCTTTTTTTTCTCTTACCTTATTCTGTACCTGCGTTCCATCCGGACTTATCCTGAATGACCCTACGTCAATTGTCTTACTCGGGTTCACTTTCCTAATTTCATGCTGCAGCTCATCTACCAGTGCCCTGCAGGCTGCAAAGGAGAGGAAAAGAACATCAAGAATACTCTGCGAGGATTATTTCAAAGAAAACGTGAACTGCTGTTCTCTTAAAGGGACACTATTGCTTATTTTTATATTAGAAGATTGTCACGGTATTATTCTGCATGTTATTAGTAATATTGTGTAGACCATATGTGATGTATTGATGTAGCATTATTTAAAGCCAGTCTCTAGGTAAAACATTATTTTAGTTTTGAATAGTAGATAGGTGTGTAGGCATTTCAAGATTTTATGCTCCCTCTGGAAAGACTTCCCAGCACTTCCTGTCCTCTTCTCATCAGGAGAGTATTATGTCTATTAGAATGTTTTTTTCCATTAGACACATTAATGGCAAAAACTCCCTGTCAGGTTTTTATTGTTTCCTGTGACTTCTTTGGCAAGATCTTCCATCACTTCCTGTCCTGGCAAATGAAAGTTAAGGAAAATTTCCTCAAAACAAACCCAACAAATCAACAGAAAAAAATAACCTGGCCTCATTCTATCAAAAATTTAAAAAAATTAACAATGGGCTTAAATGGTAGATTTCAATTTATTTGTATTCCCCATGTGATTTAATTATTAGGGGCAGTCCTATAACGCTTGCCCCTTGGCCTACAGGAAAAAGTAATTGTTTCATAGATTTTCTGTTATTACTGAACTCTGTGGGGTGTACAGGTTCAAATTAGGTTCCATATAGTTGTTAGTTTTCTTATTTTGGTGAAAGAGCACTTATAATGAATGACACTGTGCACACAAACACACAAGAACAAACATTGTTTACCTGCTGCCTTTATCATGTCAGAACTGCTAATATTTGATAATAAAGCTGAACTCCAGGCAGATAGAAAAGGCACACTTAAATGCAACTAGTGTTAGCCTCTTTTAATCCCCTGTACAGCAGCACTAGAAGCAAATCAGGTTAGCTGCATGCAATTATGCTGGTAAGGAACAAGCTGACAGTAGGAGAGAGGTGACCTTGTCTTCTGCTGCTTCTTTCCTGCCCAATTAGCAGAAAGGGAGCAGGGTGATGTTAGCACTATGTTCCCTATTTTTAACAGGTTTGTGTAAATCTCAGACCTGAATGGATAGAACTGTAAATCCTCTGGCAGGTAAACAGATCCCATATATGTATTTAATCTGTTTATGTTGATGTTTTTTAGTTAGTGTTAAAAGGTAAAGTCCACTTTATAAAAAAATTATAGAGTCACACATCTTCATAAACGTAGCCTTTAATGCAAACCTGCATTCGTAGTAATGCAAAAGTACAAATCACCCATAGCTGCCACATACCTCTCATGTCCATATCATTGTTTTCCAAGCCCCCAAGAGCTCAAAACTATCCAAAATCAAGGGCTGGCTCACCCTTTCAAGTGGCTAGCTACTGAATATAAAACAAATAGGGTGGACTTAAGTCAGACCTGCCACTGATTTTAGGAGGTATATTTAGTAATTGCATATCACAACAGCTCCACTTTAGGGCTTCTCCAGGGTGCTCAAAAATCTATTGATGGTTGTATGCGGACACCTAAAGATATACTAAACTTAAGAGTTAAACTTTAAAAATGCATTCAAGTAGCTTAGCTATTGACAAAACTGCCCTACATCACTCAGCTGTAGATCATGTCTGAATTGGTGCTGACACTGTCCTTCCTTTTGGAGGGTGGCAACTTTTGTTCCCCATGGTCCCTGTGTGTGTTGTAAAGTAGTTACCACTCCAAGCTCACTCCCGTGATAGACTACAATCTCATACACTGAGTGGCCAGATTATTATGACCACATGACGTTTGTCAGCAAATTAGCTATAATTTCGCTCTGAAGTTGCTAGAGGGCCAGACCAATATAAATAGGGTAGGAGGTTGTTTACCACGACAGTAGGAGTGATTTTTTCCTGAAGATACGGGTAAACAACGCGATTTAACAGCGTTTGAACGTGGGATGATTGTTGGCGCTCGGGGGCCATGGAGCGAGTATCAGCAAAACAGCAGAATTCGTTAAATGTTCAAGAGCAGCTGTTGTTAAAGTGTTTAAAGACTGGACTGTCAGCCGAAAATCTGGGTCTGAACGTGCGAATTGTGGCCGTCAGCGACTAGTCAATGTTAGGGCAGAACGGAGAGTGGCAAGACTGGTACAAGACAACAGAAGGGCAACAGTGCATCAAATTGCTGCAGATCTTAATCAAGTATCCTCTCAAATGATCTCTGAATGCACTGTTTGCCGTACACTGCATCATATGGAATATGGAAGTCGAAGGCCTGTTTGAACACCTTTGCTGTCTGCAGTTAACAAGATAAAACGTCTCCAATTCGCACAGGAACACAAGGATTGGACAGTCGAGCATTGGAAAAAAGTCATGTGGTCCGATGAATCACGTTTCCAGTTGCATCATACAGATGGCAGAGTGAGAATTTGGAGGAAACAGCATGAAAGCATGCACCCCACATGCATGAGTACAACCCTTCAAGCTGGTGGGGGCAGTGTTATGGTTTGGGGCATGTTTTCCTGGCATGATTTGGGCCCTTTAATTCGTGTGGAACAACGTCTGAATAGCACAACATACCAAAGTATCGTTGCTGATCAAGTTCATCCTATGATGTTGATGGTGTATCCCAATGGAGATGGCTTCTTCCAACAAGACAATGCGCCATGCCACGGTGCTCATATTGTGCAGCAGTGCTTTCAAGAACATGGTGGAGGCTTTACCTTACTTAGGTGGCCCCCACAATCACCAGATCTCAATCCAATTGAGCATTTGTGGGACGAAGTTGAAAGAGCCATCAGGCAGCTGGTTCCACAACCATCAAATCTCACAGAACTGGACAGTGCTATTCATCAGGCATGGTGTCAGATTCCTCGCATCACCTTTCAACATCTCGTGGAGTCAATGCCAAGAAGAATCGCCGCAGTATTGAAGGCAAAAGGTGGCCCAACGAAGAACTGATGGGGTGTTCATAATAATCTGGCCACTCAGTGTATAAATAAGGTACAGTTTTGTCAATAGCTAAGGTACTTAAATGCATTTTTAAGATTTAACTCCTGAGTTAATGTCACTGTAAAGTGAATCTGCAGCATGATTTTTTTTTTCATTACAATTTTCAAAAAGAAGACGACTTCTCCAGTAGTGATGAAACTTATCCACTTTTAATGGCCATGGCTGCCATAAAATCTTACACATTTTTGGAAGTGTTGGATGTTTGGTCTATGCTGAGCAATGCCATTCCTCCTGGTGGCTGTTACGTAACTACTGTGTCCTCTAATAGTTTAGCAGCCAATGGGAGTACCACCGAGTGCAGCAAGGACCAAGCATGCAATGTAAGTATAAGTCATCTTATTTTGAAGAGGACATGTAAAAAAAAAATTATTTCAAGCAACAGATTTTTGTGTCATTACTATGACTTGTTTTTACTTTTTCTTGAGTAGAAAGATTTGATTTAAAGGAAAACACCAAAAGGCATTATTCGAAATGGAAATTATAACATAATAGCAAAGTAATATTACAAAAACTACAACCAGTCATATGATGCTGTGTTTTTGATTCCATGTTTTAAAAAAACCCTCAAAAACTTGAGGCTTTACTAATAAAGTGGAGGGATAAGCAATTATAAGCAACCACTATATGTGAAGTGTTCCATCTGCCATTTTCCAGTGCAGGGTTGGATCTTATTAGCTGCTGTGATATTACGCAGTTGTTTTCTTGCACAGTTTCACATATAATGCTCACAGCCTTATTTATTTAGTTTAAAGAATGTTAATTCACAAGTGGACTATAGTCTTTAAAAGATCTGATTTTTTTTTAACCATCTAAGCACGCTAGGATCCCTTTTACCTCAGGCACTGGATCTAGACATAGCGGGGATAAATCTTTTGTCTGCAGATATCAACAACCGTGTTTAGGCTCTGCTTAACTAGCCAATCAGTGGATCTGCCAGAACACAATCACTGGATTATGACAACAGACACGTGAACATCCAGTCGCACCCCCAACACTCCTTTATATAGCCACTAAACTGTGCAGGCTTTAACCCTTGCGCTGCCAAGCCCTCCGGAACGTTTTTCAAATCAGCTGGCCAAGCCATTTTTGAATTTTCTGCAATTTTTTCCTATTGGTTTGATTTTCAACTGCTGCGTTGCTAGCGTTTGTAAAAGACCCCCCAAACCATATATTTTCTGAAAGCGCAGGCCCGGTAGAATAAAAAGATGGTGATACTAAATTTGTAGGCCCTGCGATAATTGCGCAAATGTTTCTCAAATTAATATTAAACCGATAAAAATACACAATTCAATTGTTAAAACACACCAAAATCAGTATCCGTGCACAAAAAAAATAATTTTCTGACTAAATCTAAAAGATAAAACTGTATTGAGTTAATAAATAACAAATATTAGCAAATTTGTAATTGCGCCTTTTTGCGAAAAGGTAAAAAAAATGAAGGTATGCAAAACCATTCTACTATAAGCTGATGGTCGCTAAAGCGACCATCAGCTTATAGTAGAACTGTAAATGCCAGGTCCGTACGACGTACTGAGCTGGCCAGCTGGAAGCACTTTTGTAGCTCCGTACGACGTACGTCCTTGGCAGCGAAAGGGTTAAATCAATCAAGTAAGATATGCCTCTTGAAGCTAACCCAATTTAATCTGCTGCCTGTCTTCTGGAGATGGACAGCTACTAATTTGCATATTATCAGATCTTCTAGAGCTAGAACACCAAAAAGATTCAATACGGATTGCCATTTAATAACTTTACCTGCTCTCTTTGAAGGTTTCATTGCACTCTGTGTAAAGGTTATCTACAACAGTGGCTTCAAAGCCTATCCTGAAAGGGGACCTTGCACTGAAAAACAAGGTCCACTAATGTGGCATTCCCCCCACCATTTTTTTTTTTTAACGAAATGCTGGATTACAATAATAAAAAAAACTCTGAAAGAAAATCATTAAAAAAGTTACTTTACTCCTGGGGTTTAGCAGTCTTGCCTAGGGGAAGGTGACATCACTGTCT